AACTCGACCCTCTATAACTCGAACCTCCCGCTAACTGAAGCAATTTTCATTTCCCTTCAGAGCATTTTCTATATAATTTTACCCTCCATAACTCGAACTCCCGATAACTCGAACTTTTTGTTTCCCTTGAAGGTTCGAATTATCGGGAGTGGACTTTATTTGATTAATTTATGCCCGATTTTAGCACCTACAGTAAAACGACAACAACAGCAACAACAAAACAAAACAAAACAAAAAACCTTCCCCCCGCCAAAAAAAAAAAGAAAAACAACAACGAAAAAAACGAGAAAACGACCGTTAAGAATTAGAACGTAATTGAGAAGTCGAATGACGTCATCGATGACGACAACTTTCCGATCCACTTTTGCTGTGGTTAACACACTTCTTTGCGCTTCCTGTGGCCTTTTGCTAGTGCCTTGCCTTTGGACAGCTGCGCCCTTCCCCCTCCTGACAGTTTCTACATAGTCTTTGAATTTTCTAATTTTGTTTTTCCCCTAGCATTTGGCCAGAATGATTTACTAGCTCTCTCATGACGCCACAAGCGATTAACTTGCCCTGACGAAGCAGTGATTCTAAGACTGAAGCAGACTGAAGCCACCAGACATTCACTTTGTCTATCTGAACTATCTGAATTAGAAGGATAGACCAGCTGTTTCAGCTGTTAATTTAACGTGAGCAGTGTTTTCTCTTCTTAGTTATATCAGGCTTTACACAACGAACTAACTGGATATGTATCTAATTGCTTGCCAAATCGATAATTGACCCTCATAATTCCTTTAAAAACAATTTCATTACAAGATAAACATATCGCACGTGCCGAATCTCTCACTTCCTCACCAGCCGTAGACTACTGAACGTGGATTTTTGGGTGTCATGACTGGGGCTTTCCACAAATTGTTCTGCAACTTTTCGGCAGCTTCTCGTATTTTGAGCAACTTTTTACATTTTGAGCAATTTCTCTAGTTATCTCCTAATTCTAAGATATTGGAGCAGCTTTTAATAGTTTTTAAATTGGCCTTTCTTCCCGGATTTCACAACAATTTACTTATCATGGTGTCCAAATCATAGGCGCAAGATAAAAGCAGCCGCGTTTCTAGGTCAGGGTTTTTTTGAGAAAATTCAAAATGGTGACGAAGATTCACACGTCGACTGACTTGAGTGTCTCGGGTGAAGACTGAGGTCATTCCATTTTATTGGCTCATTATCATCATTATATTTTTTAGTTTTAATTGAGAACAAAGTTATTTAGCAACGCTTTTTACGCCGAAAATTGCACAAAAGTGCTTAAAAATCTTACTTCTGTTGTACAATTTGCATATTTTAGCATCAGACCCAAAAAAGTTGTTACTTTTTGAGAAATTACGTGAAACTTTTTGGAANATTACAAGATAAACATATCGCACGTGCCGAATCTCTCACTTCCTCACCAGCCGTAGACTACTGAACGTGGATTTTTGGGTGTCATGACTGGGGCTTTCCACAAATTGTTCTGCAACTTTTCGGCAGCTTCTCGTATTTTGAGCAACTTTTTACATTTTGAGCAATTTCTCTAGTTATCTCCTAATTCTAAGATATTGGAGCAGCTTTTAATAGTTTTTAAATTGGCCTTTCTTCCCGGATTTCACAACAATTTACTTATCATGGTGTCCAAATCATAGGCGCAAGATAAAAGCAGCCGCGTTTCTAGGTCAGGGTTTTTTTGAGAAAATTCAAAATGGTGACGAAGATTCACACGTCGACTGACTTGAGTGTCTCGGGTGAAGACTGAGGTCATTCCATTTTATTGGCTCATTATCATCATTATATTTTTTAGTTTTAATTGAGAACAAAGTTATTTAGCAACGCTTTTTACGCCGAAAATTGCACAAAAGTGCTTAAAAATCTTACTTCTGTTGTACAATTTGCATATTTTAGCATCAGACCCAAAAAAGTTGTTACTTTTTGAGAAATTACGTGAAACTTTTTGGAAAATCTCGAGCAACTTGTGGAAAGCCTTAGTCATGACCGAAATCAAACACACCTGACACTGAAAGACTAACGTCCTTGTGTCGAAAACGGATTTCACCTACGAGAAATCCGTCCTCAGGGTGGATTTCAATTGAGAAATCCATATCCGGATTTCATGGATTTCCTTTTTACCGTTCGATTGGAAAATCCGAAAAAGGATTTGCAAAACTATTCTCGTGAACAGTGGTCTTCTTTTTGCTAGTATGCGTGCGCGTGCAAGACCGCTGTTCTTAAGGACAGTTTTTCAAATCCTTTTTCGGATTTCCCAATCAAACGGTAAAAATGAAAATCTCAGCGTTGAAATCCGTTTTCGGATTTCGCGTTTGATTGCGAATCCGAAATCCGGATTTTCAAAATCTAAATCCAGATTTCCCAATCGAACGCACCCTAAGACAAAACCCTCAATTTTATTACCCTGTATAGGATAAAACACATGCACACAATATTAGGACAGACTTTCGCGAAATCGTATGCCTGGTTTAGGACAGACTCGAGTAAAATTATATACCCTGCCCCAGTTTAGGCCAGAGAGGGCAAAAACCTTACCCTGTCCAGCGGTACATTAGTCTGCTACACAGCCGTTTTTAGTGTCGTCACGCAACGCTCCTCCCCACTAACAGTTAGTGGGGAGGAGCGTTGCGTGACGACACTAAAAACGGCTGTGTAGCAGACTAGCGGTACATCGATGCCCGTACAAGCTATAAAGGGAGAACCCCCACCCCCCCCCCCCCCCCCCCCCCCCCTCCCCACCCCCCCCAACACCCCCCCCTCCCCCCCCACCCGCCACTCTATCCCGAATCCTTCTCCACGCCGACTCTTTCCCATTCACAACCAGCAATCACTGTCATGTATAAGTATAGAGTATGTGGGTGGGGTATGCATCAAGAAGAAAAAAAAAAAAAAAAAAAAAAAAAACTTTAGGGGCTTCGAATTATTTCATACCTGTCTCTCTCTATCTAGAACGACGACTCGCTGACTTCTAGCTGCTTCTAGCCACTAATGAAGACCTTCAGTTTTAACTGAGAAACTTATACAATAATCCTTCCACGATCCGATACTAAACTAAATTTTCCGGTCTGGTGTAGCTTATGTCTATTCGTTGCAGTGTATTTTTATGACGTCTTTAGTTCTGAGTAAAACAGGAAGATAACAAATGGCGGATATTTACATCTAAGGCGGTTAATGTTGAATTGAGGCAAGATAACACTCCCATTTCCGGTTTGTGACGTCTGTACCTCACGTGTCTACAGCTTGCTTTTGTTTCTTCCTTATCCGTGGGTACATATTTGCCCCAAAGCTTGATCAAGACTGATCAGGGGTTATAGGAAAATATTAACCCTGTTCCAAAGTCAAACTGAAGTAAAATACACCCCTCTATCAGAGATAAAGGATGAATTTCAGACGCTGTTCCAGACAGTCAGTGGGGTAGAAGCCTACACCACCTCCCCACCCAGCTTCCTCTTGCTCGTTGCTCAATTAAAAAAAAAAACTTTAAAAGAGCTGAGATCTCAAGTTCCTCAAATTACTATAATGTAATGTGCGGATAATTTTCCAAATCAAAATGTTTATTGTTCACGTCCCATTGATTGCTTTAATTAAAGTGAATGCAGCGCAAACCCATGGGGAGACATTTATCCTCCCACGCAGAGGTTCTTAGGCCTTCGTTAGGCGTGGGAGGCTAAAATTATAGTTCGACGAGTTAAAAATGACCGTAAAGTAACCACCGAGTAAGAGGTGACAATACGCTTTGTGACGCTTAACAAACTCCGTGCGCGTCAGTCATGCGTGTTTACAGTCTTGTACAAAATTATAAATATAAAAAAACTAGTACAGTCGACTCCCGGTAACTCGACCCTCTATAACTCGAACCTCCCGCTAACTGAAGCAATTTTCATTTCCCTTCAGAGCATTTTCTATACAATTTTACCCTCCATAACTCGAACTCCCGATAACTCGAACTTTTTGTTTCCCTTGAAGGTTCGAATTACCGGGAGCCGACTTTATTTGATTAATTTAAGCCCAATTTTAGCACCTCAGTAAAACGACAACAACGTAAACAACAACAACAAAACAAAACAAAACAAAAAACCTTCCAACGAAAAAACGAGAAAACGACCGTTAATAAAGAATTAGAACGTAATTGAGAAGTCGAATGACGTCGTCGATGACGACAACTTTCCGATCCACTTTTGCTGTGGTTAACACACTTCTTTGCGCTTCCTGTGGCCTTTTGCTAGTGCTTAGCCTTTGTACAGCTGCGCCCTTCCCCCTCCTGACAGTTTCTACGTAGACTTTGAATTTTCTAATTTTGTTTTTTCCCTTGCATTTGGCCAGAATGATTTACTAGCTCTCTCATTACGCCAAAAGCGATTAACTTGCCCTGACGAAGCAGTGATTCTAAAACTGAAGCAGACCGAAGCCACTAGACATTCACTTTATCTATCTGAACTATCTGATTTAGAAGGATAGACCAGCTGTTTACGCTGTTAACGTGAGCAGTTTTTTCTCTTCTTAGTTACATCAGGCTTTACATAACGAACTAACTGGATATGTATCTAATTGCTTGCCAAATCGATAATTGACCCTCATAATTCCTTTAAAAACAATTTAATTACAAGATAAACATATCGCACGTGCCGAATCTCTCACTTCCTCACCAGCCGTAGACTACTGAACGTGGATTTTTGGGTGTCATGACTGGGGCTTTCCACAAATTGTTCTGCAACTTTTCGGCAGCTTCTAAACCCCAACCCCCCCTCCCCCCCCCCGCCTCTCCGGTGATGATACAAACAACGGCCGTGTAGCAAACTATCGCAGCTTATGCCGAACTTCATATGCTCGCAGTCTATTATATTATTACAAAAGTAAACCCTCTTTAGTAATAGACAGAGCAAATTGACAGTAAAAAAGGGGGAAAATAAGTAAAAGTAAATTTCTTCGTCCAGCGGCCTTGCACTAAAAATATATGCGCTCAACGCAAAGGCGGAGAGGCGAAGTTCAAAACAGTCAAAAGCTCTGAACCGGCAGGGAGAGTGCAAAATATTGTAATTATTTCCGATCTTGGAATGATATTTTAAATGGATCAGCTCATTCCAGTTATTAACAAACTACAAGATGTGTTTAATACTGTGGGGACAGAAGCCATCCAACTGCCGCAAATTGTAGTTGTCGGCGCCCAGGTGTGTGGAAATTTCTCTCCATAATTTGTACATGTAAGAAAGCTTTATGTTGATCCTTTGCTTGAAGATTAAACGGCAGAGATTGTTTGATTTGTACTCAGTCCAGATGCAGTTAGATTGCTAATTCACCTTTCTTGTGAATAACGGTTTGAGACAGTTGGTCGATGGTGCTGTTTTCCGTGTCAGTTGCGAAATAGCTGACTTTAGGCTGGAAAACCGAAAGATCGAGAAAAATGCAGTGATATTTCAGGATTGAAATTAAATTTAAGATCTCCCAACGAAACCCTGTGAGAAAGAAACAGACAGTCCCTGAAAATGATTTGTTTTTGCACTGATTTTGTTCAGAATCCTTTGTAAGCTTAACTTTTAAATTAAACGATCATGAAGTTTTGAATTTTTTTGTTGTGCCGGTTTTCCTGCATGAAGCGATATAAAACATGTATATTTGTCCAGTCTTGCCTTCCACTTGCTAATACTTATGTTGATTGCCTTATTTTGATACACAACGAGTAACTGATTTTTATGAGCATTCTTTAACATTATAGTTATTTTGTCTTATCTAAAATTGAATACAACAGTATACATGCTTTTGTACGTATTCTTTTGTGTAATTAGACAGATATACAACTAACAAGTGACATGACGACATTAAATCAAAGTATCTGAAAGAGCCAATGAGGTCAAAAGTTTCATTGTTTTGTTTTTTGGCAACAAAGCAATAAAAATCATTCAGCTGTAGGCGACTTATGTTTACCCTTTTGTTAAAAGAGAATTCATATTGTATGGTAATCATCAACCTTTGTTTTTTACAGAGTAGTGGCAAAAGTTCAGTTCTTGAGAACCTTGTGGGAAGAGACTTCTTACCGAGAGGTACCTGTAACTCAAATTGTTTGTTTTCTTGTTCCTGTTCAGTTTGAAGTTTTGCTTTCGCTATGTTTTTACATTGGCTTAGTTATCTACAGTAGAAGGAGCTGGCTCATAAAACATAGTTCAGGTCAAACGGTTAAACTCTAATTGCCAATTGATGAGCTTGGGAACTGGTGCTTTTAAGGTTGGTAGCGGCCTGGTGATGGTGAGGTTGATGAGAGTCTCGCTGTTTCCAGTCTTGAGACAAAGTCAAGGAAAACATCAGTTCACAGTTGTTCAAATGATGGATAGGGTTATCTACCGGTTAAGTCACTATCCAGGGGATAAGTATTAGAAAAAAAAATTACACTGTACACTATCCACTGGATAAAGATTTATCCAGTGAATAACATTACCCACCTTTTGAACAACTTGGGCCATAACTCGGAGGGAAAACAAAACTTACTGGTTTCCCAAGGGACCTGACATTAAGGGCGCAATCCATTCAACCAGAATTTCAAGAAATTTTGGTTCAAAACTCAATGGATTGGTTCAGTCCAACCGGAAAAGTTTTGAAAAAACTGGTCTACCTTTTGAGGTGGACCATTTTTCCCAGTCTGACCAGTCGGAATTTTGGTTGAATGGATTGCGCCTTAAGTGTTTTTCCGCAATCCTAACATCCAGGTTGTTATTACGCACTCACCTGTATGTAGACAGCATTCGTTGGGACTTCCACTAAGAGTGAATGGAATACACAGAACGTAATTTGATCACTCACATTTTGACCTTCTATCACTCGTAATCTGATCATGTGTGTTTTGACCTTCTATCACGTGAAACTTGTGCAAAGTACAGCATTGGAGCAAAAGTGTTTTGACCTTTGATCGTTATCGCCCGCACTTTATAATGTTCCCAAACTTTCACTTCAGCAATGACAAAAATAAAGAACAAAGCAAAACAATATTGGTTCTTACATTGCTTTATAAGAAAACAACTCAAATCCTCAAAACTGCTGGATGAATTTATTACAGTGGAAGCTCTTGTAAGCGGGCACCCTTGGGATGCGAAAAAGGTGTCCATTTATAACTGGAGCTGGCCACCAATGGGAATGTAAAAATACAGATTTTGTGTGAGAGTTGAGAAAAAAACAGGGTTTTGTGAAGGCAGCCATAAGTAGAGTTGTGTCCGCTTATGTGAGTGTCCGTGTCCGCTTACATGAGTGTCTATAAGCGGACAAACAACATGTACTTTCCTTGCATTATCTGCACCTTTTTCCTCCACTGCCTGCTGCATCTGTTCTTGGATAACTTTGAAAATTGTGGCTCTTTAGTTTATATGGCTCCATGTTTGTGTTGCCGTGTTTATTCATGAAAGTGAAAACTGGCAGTGTTTGCCTGCGATCAGTCGCACCACTTTCCACCATGCTTTAGTCAAATTCTGTTGTAACCTGAGAGGAGTACATGTACAATTGCTTAATCATATCATGACCAGGATACACTTGAATGTAGTCAAGGCCATGTTACCATTATTAGAATCAACCAATAGTATTCCCTGTCTAGTGAGTGAAAGTCTAGGAATAAACATTACTCCTAAACAGTAGTCACTAAGGACTTTGTTTCAGGCTCCCTTTTAATTGAAAGTCATGCATTTGGGGACAACACCCCAGTAGACTGCATCCAGTTAAGAGTAGGGAAAGGAATATAGTACAGTAGGTGCTAGATACATGTACTAGCTTGAGGAAACAGACTACATTTTGCGATGGCACCACTAGTTTCCTGCGAAATGATGTCTGACTAGTGCAGAAATTCCATACTGATGTTGCGTCACTACCCAGATCTGGGTTGTGTTTTTGATTGGTCGTGTTGCATGGGAAATTTGCTTTAACCAATCAGAAGCACTACTTGGATCTTTGTGGTGATGCATCATTAGCATGAAATTTCTGTGCTTGTTTCTCAGGCATCATTTCATAGGGAAGCCAGTGGTGGTGTTGCGAAAAGTTTGCTGTTTTCCCAGACTAGCTATATACCAGCTTCAATTAATACTGTGCCTTGCAGGCTCTGGTGTTGTCACGCGGCGGCCGCTGATCCTTCAGTTAGTACACACTCCACCCAAGGCCACCACAAGTTCAAAGAGATCATCCAAAGGGATTAAACCAAAAAGCGTGGAAGATGAGGATGGAGATTCTTGTGAGAAATGAGTATTGCATCTACTTCTAATAAAGACTTTGCAAACTTTGGCTGCAAAATTATTGTTACAAACCCAAACACAATATTATCACACCACTCTGCTTCTGCACCACCTCAACTTGTCGCCTGCCAAAAAGATATTATATCTGATAAGTTGGAGACTTAGCTGACACATAAGAGTGCAGAAATAATCCGGTTCATTTTTGCAATAAACGTGACAAACAAATTGTACTGTTCATAACTGTACTACTCAAACTGAGGGCACTTTAAAAAATATACCACCGCATGGCAGTGATAGTAGAATTCAATTATTGATTAGCAATAGTTTCCTGTACAGTGTAACTAATATCATCTCTAGAACAATTAAAAGAAAAATTTAAAAAATTCAAGGAGGGAACATTATTTTTGGACTTCAATGTATGTGAAGACATGTTTTAGCTTTTTGAAAAGTTAGCAATAGCAATGATGACATACATGTAGCCCCCTTTGATAAACTATGACTAGTTTTAGGTCATTATATTAAGAAGTTAAGCACAATGTTATAGATATACAAAAAATGTCATCATCCATTGCAGTAACTTCAAAGTTACAGTAATATAAGTACAAACTGGCTAGACTACTTGTAACTTAAAGTTTGCTCTAGTGGACACTGGGCGATGTTGCTGAACAGCACATTCATGCCTCACATACATTTATGATTTGCATGTTATTGGTTGTCTTTACACTAGTCTGTTAAGTAAGACTTAAGAGCCGCTAAGTTTTACTTAACCAAAAATTCATGTGTGAAGGCCTAAGTAAGATCTCAAGTAACTTTGCTTTGCATCTCATAAAAGTCGGAAAGTTGAAACGATTCAGGAAAGTTTCAAGCGACTTGAAAACCATCCTTATGACTGACTTAGCTGACTTGCGGTTTTGCGATTTCTTGAGCTTTGAGAAAGGCAAGACATGTCAATCTTAATTTTGATGCGTGGGAAAATAACCTGAGGTAAAAAAGAATCAGTTGTATTTGAAGCTTTATTTTACTTGAAGTAATTAAAATTTACTTTTCTTGAAATATGTCTTAGCTTATTTAGGCTCTAGTGTAAAGACTACCATTCTTCATGCTTAAAGTAACCCAGGATAATTTGTTATTCTTAAAAGATTACTCTGATGATGAGGGTGAAGACTCTCCTAAAGAAAATGAAGAACCAGAGGAATGGGGAAAATTTCTTCATTTGAAAGAAAGAGTAAGCTACAACGCACTATTTTACTTTTTACGCAGAATCTAAACCTGTCTAGCTCTACTTGTCTAACATAATTATTTCAGAGATGCAAACTTCTGGGGTCAATGTACAAGGGTGTGATAAAACTTTTAGAAGACTAGTGGAATTATTTACAGGTGTGGCTTTTGAAACAAGTCTGGCTATACATGTAAATTGCACTCAGAAACATTAACCTCTGAAAATCTACATTGTAGACGTATACCCCCCACCTCCTATACACACAAAATGGCCTTGTACTCAAGTCATACATATGTTACATAGGTGCGGCTTAGGTCATTACATAGTGTCTATTTATAGTACAGACCATCAACAGTCCCTTCCATGAATATGTTAATGGTTCAATTTTATCCTTGGTTTAAATTTTCTTTTCTTTTTTCAAACTCATTATTATAGATTACCATGTACCCTAAAACAATGGAAAATAACATTAGTTTAAACCAAGGATAAAATTGAACCACAACAAATAATTTTATTGTAATGACAAAATGATCTTAGTTTGTTTTTAGTGATAAAAATTAATTAATATCTCTGAAAATACTGCCACATTAAAATCTACTCATCCCCCAGAGATGAATGTTATTTACATTGTATTTTCTGAATTTTGCAAATTTACGCACAGAAAAGCTCTAAAGTCCGTTGTGTGTGGGAGGTTTAGTAAACAGAACCATTAAATTGTTTCTAGCAAAAAATTAATCAGGAATTTTTGATTTACATTACGCAGAAAATAGCAGACTTTGATGAAATCTGTCAGGAAATAGAACGTGAAACTGAAAGGGTAACTGGAAATAACAAGGTTTGTGGAAACTTTAACACATCTAGCATCATGGCAATTGTCACTATGCCTTTTTAGTTTTCAAGTTCTGCACCGTTTTGTTTAGTCAGCTTAAATTATTTTTATTTGTCAGTAGTTAAACTCATCACCAATAGATGAGCTTGGGCGTTGGTACCTACAAAGTTGGTGGAGCCAGGCAATGCTCTAGTATGAGGAGGAGGTATCCATGGCTACCCTGCGAGCGGCTTCCACCCGGCACCGTCGCACTGAACAATTCAGTGGAATACTTACTGACCAATGCTTACCTGGCCCATACCTCAAGAGGGAGGGAGGGATGGGAAAAAAACAAAGCACAAACTGGCACGCAAACAGCAAGCTGTTGCAACATTAGTTTGCGAAGAACTGCAAGCAAGCAACTGCGTATATAAGTCACGAGGTGCCCCTACTAGACGCATCGGGCCACCCCTAGTATAGCTGGGGAAACTGCTGACCAGCATTGCTTCATGGTTAACTTTGCCTAAATTACATTTAGCCACATTAAAATAATAATATTGTTTCATTTCCTGAGTTCAGGCAATAGAAAAATGGCTGAAGGCTACATTAGTTCAGAAAGAAAAACTGTTTCCCAATGTTTTTTTTTAAAGGGAATTTCAAGTGAACCAATCAGATTAAAAATTTATTCACCCAAGGTGCTAAACTTAACATTGGTTGATCTTCCTGGAGTGACAAAGGTTAGTGTACATTGACACACATTGTACAGAGAATTTGATAAGGTGGGAGTTAAATTGATTTTGTTAATTTGAAAAAATATACTGCCTTTATTTTTTGCTGGAATACTTACATGTATAAATTTTAACTAAATCATCATCATCGTCATCATCAGCGCCATCATAATTATCATCATCATCATCATCATCCTCATTGTCATGGTCATGCAGGGCAATGTTATTTTGATTAGGCAGCCTAAAAGCTGGTGTGGACCTGCTGAGAGCAATGCATACCCATAGATATCACATTCTTGAGTCTAGCATCTTGGTGGCTAATGGGGTCTATGTACTCTACTCTTTACTGAAACAATGTTGTGGTTTCTTTTACCTTCCATTAACTCCATCAACAATAGATGAGCTTGGGGAAATAGTGCCTATCGTGAGAAAGGAAGAACTGTGGAGGCAAATACAAACCTACTGTGGAAGACTGCTTTTAGAATAATTTTATACACGACAACCCTGTGAGTGGGATGGGTGGATAGGGGGTAAAATCAGCAAGAATTGTCCAGTAGGGAGAAACAAAATAACTACAGAATGACTTGATTTCTGAAGCTGAGAGCTCTGTAAACTTGTGAAGTCCCTGCACACAACCCCTAGCCACCCCAAACACCAGTTGACCTGGGGGAAAAACTACCGGCCAGCATTGTTTCAAGTTTACAGTCATGTAACTTTGCTTAAATTACATTTTGCCACATTTGAAATAATTATTGCTGTGTATTGAGAAAACTGAACTATATTCAGTGTTGTCAAAACACCAAAGAGTGGTTGCCCTGTGGTATTTTTGGGTGACCCTGTTCTTTTGTTTCTGTTATTAGGTACCTGTTGGTGATCAGCCACTGGACATCGAGAATCAAATTCGTCACCTTATTCTTCAATACATCAGTAATCCTAATTCTATTATTCTTGCTGTGACGCCTGCTAATATTGACCTTGCCACTTCAGAAGCTCTCAAGATTGCAAGAGAAGTGGACCCTGATGGTGAGACTCATATCAGAGAAACATTATTTTTTCAACATGTTCAGCTCTTTTCAAAATGGTGTTCACTAAAATTGCGTGGATCAAGCAACTTTTTGTCGGACATTAAATACATGACTTGTATGATATGATACTTGTTTTTGCAGATTTCACTGAGTCAGATCAGCTGCTTTCGGTACATCCAGATTATTTTCAATTTGCCTTAGTTCCTCTCTAATTTGAATTCCCCCCCAAAATTCACTAGCTTACCAGGCAAGTTAAGAACAGAATTTAGTTGCATGATTACAAAAAATCCATTAGCCCTGCACTATCAGACACAACTTTCTTTGCAATGCTGTAGTGACAAATCTCACTTCTTCTTGCACAGGAAACAGAACATTGGCAGTTTGTACCAAGTTAGACTTAATGGATCATGGGACTGATGCTCTGGACATCTTGTATGGCAGAGGTGAGGACCGAATTTCTGTTTTCTTTCATTCATTGACTTTGTCACCTTAGTCTTGCAGTGTGTACTTTTTCTTGCATCTGCTTTTCCTAAAACAGGTGATTTATGCTTGTATTCTTTACTATCATACTGTGTTCTCTTTTGAGAACAATTGAACTCAGACAGTTCAGTAATTGAGTATGGTGAAATCACTCCTTTAGCAAATGGTTCTGTCGACATACATGTACATAATGCAGTGCTCTCGTTATGGGTATTAAATTTCGTGTGTTTATTTTTGGTCTTTCATTTCACAAATTTTTCTCAATTGTAAAAATAATAATAATAATAATAATAATAATGATAATGATAATGATAATGATAATGATAATAATAATAATAATAATCATAATAATAATAATAAAGACAACTTGAAATTAAAGACCCGCCAAATTAAGTATCATTAAGGTATTTGCATGGGGAAACCTGATATTCTTCTCTTGGAAAATGAAATGCTTCAGTAATGCCCTTTAATAGGAAAACTAAGGGAGACCACAGCTATCGTCTGAGGTGACACATTCATTTCTCTGCTCTCCTTAGTCTCTTTAACTATCCTGGCTGTTGTTTTTTTGGTGGGTTCTTCTCCCTCAAGGTCAGATTTTTAAAGTAAATGATTATGCACAAGAGTTTCAACCATAGTAATTAGTATATCTGTCTGTTTGCTTCAACCAGTTATTCCAGTAAAACTAGGAATTATTGGGGTGATGAACAGAAGTCAACTAGATATCAACAATAAAAAGGTTAGTAGTGTAATCAAATCATGTGTCTCTATAATTTATGTAAAGTTTTAAGAGCATTGAAACTTTGTATAATGCTCTAAATATGGTGTGATCATCTCCAGTTCTTTTACTGGGAATTCACAACCATGTCTCAGCAGAAATCTCGCAGCTTAGATACATCACACTTTCCGCAAGATATGGGCAGTACCAAGAATGGCTGACAACTGTGCGCTTCCAAAAATATCTGGCAGACTCAATATCCCATACTAGGCCTTTCCATTCACCGAGATAGTTCCATGTGCACCAATCGCGATGGATATTACCGTCACTCTCGTGACTCTGTGGATTCTTTTAATTTCAAATCAGCTGGCCTTAATTCGAATTAAGTTCGGCTCATGAAGAGTCCCGCGTCTGAACCGGGCCTAAGTCTATTTGTGTCGGCGCGAAACCAATAGCGGAAAGGGCTTCTCTTCGCGCATAAGAACGGCGATTTCGGCGCGATTTCTGTAATGGATCGAAGCTTTGCGCCATGCCGAAATCTAAAGTGGAGAGTCACATGTCGGATACAGGTGTTCATACTGTCCAGCTACCACAAGTATACTATACGCTGGTATGGTGTGAGGATAGCCCAAAAAGTTAGGGCACTTGACTTGAAATCTCGACCAAGAACTTTGCTGAATCTGTTTGCCCCTAGTCCTGTGTTCACTCCTTGCTCGACTTGCATGGGTAAACAGTCGTTCTTTTGGGAAGTGTAATCGTATGACTTAATTTGACATTTGCCCGTTACAGTCTATTCAAGCTGCTCTGAGGGATGAAGCGCTCTTCTTTCAAAAGAACTACCCAGCATTAGCATCAAGGAATGGTACCCCGTACCTTTCACGAACTCTTAACAAGGTAAAAATAGTTTCGTCCTAAAGTCGATTCACCCGACGTCATTCGTCAGGACTTAAGTCGATTCGCCCAATGACATTCAACGCCCTACAACATGGTAAACATACCTCTCAGCGATTTTGTTTAAGATAAACTTCGATTCCACATATGCAGTCATTGTCTTATAGGCTTTTTCTTTGTTTTTCAGGTTCAATTAATTAAGGTGGCTGAACACAGTTTTGCGGGCGGTCAGCGGTGACTCGCGTGACGGCGCGTGTCTTAAATTAGATGGACTAGCAAACATGGCGGCAAAAAAGCAATGGTACACGGAAGACGATTTCTCAAAATCTACTCATTAAAATTTTGTGATATTTGGCAGTATTTTAAAGAGAACTTTAAAATGGAAGTTGAACAGACGAATTTTGTGACACGTGTAATAATTACAGTACAATTATATTATTGATTATCTAAAAACCTGTCTGTCAAAATTTGGTCAAATAAGTTTCAAATGGTAATGATTAATTATAGTAAGCTGTGTGAAACTTTATAGGAAAATCTAATGAGCGAAGTTTATGTAAACGGAGCAAAAGTGAAATTTTTATTTTGTATTCAATCGTTCATGTTGCCATGGAAACTACGAAAACGTCAAATTTTACCTGTCAATCAAAATCTTTCATTAGTATGTTTTTCACTTGCCAAGTTTCAGCTTGTAAGCTGCAACCTTTCTCTTGCCATGATTTGGCAAATGACATACACTCACAAACTGCCAAAACTGTGTTCAGCCACCTTAAGAACGGCAAATCATGACAAATACACAACTGGCGAATCGACTTAATTCGAGGTGAACTGCCGTAGGGCGAATCGACTTTCGGACGAAACAACCTGGTACCCTTCTTGCAGATAACAGTACATTACTAGCCGATGTTATTTGGCCTATTGAGCTGGAAGCTCGAGATATAACAGTGAACTTACGCAGCAAGACAGGAGAGGAGAGAGAAAACAACGAACCCTAAGCGTACAATAATTATGTTTGAACAAATTTTCGCCAAACTTCACCTTCCTTTTAACAGATCTTTTTGCAAAAGACCAGAACACAGTAATGTTAAGTGAAGATTGCCGCAAAGCACCTGGCCGCCAAGCACGCGCGTAAGAAACTTGTCACGTTTGTCAGTCACGAACGTTTTGCCGTCCTCTTTTTTCTATTAAGTGACGTCCCGTTGTGTAAGCTCACTAATGTCTCCAGCTTCGTGCTCTCCTATATACAGAAAGTGTCTCTCGTGACTAATCTGAAATGGTTCATTCGTAGATTTTTAAAAAAATTCTTATTTTGGCAGCTTTTGATGCACCATATTAGGAACTGTTTGCCCGAGCTGAAGTCACGTGTTAATACCATGACGTCACAGTATCAGCATCTGCTCCAAAGCTACGGTGAACCAGTGGAAGACAAGGTAGTGTGCTCTGATAACCTTTCACTACTCGGGTGTGAGGGATTTATCATCATAATTTTGAACCGTGGACAAAATCGTTACGTGTTTCCTTTCTCTCTGCCGGGGCAAACATATTTTTTGCATACTAAGATTTCTTTTCCAGCTTAGGGGTTGTGCAAATTTGAATTTTTGACTTTTTTAAAATTTAATGCTAGCTGCATTTTACATTAAAAATTTCCAGCCCCGGAAGTTCTTTAACAATGGTCTCCTAGAAAACTCCTGGATTCCATGTACATGTAGCATTGCTTTCAAAAGTAAGGAGACAATAAGCCTGCGAGAGCATCCGGTTTTTTCGGCTTTTGTTTCACCCGCCGATTGTTTTTCGGAGGGAGAGAAGACAACGAACCGACGACCGGAAATACGTCTGCGGTTCGCAGGCTAGGAGACAATTGGCTTAACTTAAAATACCCAGGAGTCTAGTTCCAAATTTTTAGGGTCAATATGTGTTTTCTTTTTTCGATTACTTTCAAGAAACCTTCATACCCAATGAAGTTATAAGGACTTGTTTATATTTTACAGTATTAATAAATTTTGCAAGCCTTGGTATGGAAGTTCTATTACAATGGACCCCTAGAAAACTCCTGGATTCCATACTCTTCCAGAAGAACAGTACTTTACATTTGTTTCTGAAAAGGCCACTTTTTTTTGCGTCATTGTTCTGCATCCTTTCAAAAATGCCCTCTCCTGTGATACACTAACATATGATTTGTTACAGGGCCCGATGTTGCTTCAACTTATAACAAGATTCGCGTCTGCTTACTGTGCGATTATTGAAGGAACAGCGCGTGATATTGAAACCTCAGAATTGTGAGTGTTGTTGAGTACCTACATGTATTGAATAAATTCGCAAGCTCTTCTTTATTCCTTGTTCACATGAAGTTCGTGAACTATATTAGGCGACGCGTTTCTAGACTTTCCACGAACGTTTGAAATTATAGGATACCTTTGTCTTTTCCCGCCATTATCAAGCTGGTAAACGTACCACCAAGCTTTCAAACATGAAGCAGTCTTTTAATTACTTGTTCTGGGTGCCTTCGATAACTCTTCTGGACAAAAATTCCATGCCATTGTTCAGGTATTACCTGGGTTTTTTGGGAGCAACCATTTCTAAAACTTACGGTTGAAAAAAAAACTGCTTTATCATTTATCATTGCCTTTGTAGATGCGGAGGGGCTAGGATTTGCTACATTTTCCACGATATCTTCGGTCGGACGTTAGAAATTATGGATGCGATGGAGGGTTTAGCTACCAAGGATATTCTTACTGCAATCAGAAATGCAACGGTGAGTAACTTCAGCCAATAATGTCAGTTCATTATCAAATTCGACAAATGGAGCATTTTTTTTTTCTTTCTTGGCATTCAGATACACTGTACTCGTCACTGGCCATTAATCAGAAAATACAAGATGTGTAACTCTGACAAATCGAAATACACTCCTGCAGATAATTTTTTTGTTTTAGGAAGCACATATAGCCGCCAGGTCAGACCGACCTGGCGAACCTCGACCTCGGACTGATCTCTTTTTCAGTGTTCCTCTCCAATGAAAAGTTTCGCGCTCCCTTTAGTCGAAATGACATAATGCAATTGTTGTCGCACAGCAGCAATAAAATATTGAACCAACAAACAGACAACAATATCAACACCAACAACAAAAAGAAAACAAACATACTTTTATCTTTTCCTATTAAGACACCTTTGTTAATCAGTGAAGCTAGCTTTATTTTCTTCCACGTAATTTTCTTTTCTTTTTTCGCTTTTCTCTCTGCAGGGTCCTCGTCCCGCCTTATTTGTACCGGAGATTTCGTTTGAGCTGTTGGTAAAAAAGCAGATCCGCAGGCTAGAGGAACCCAGTCTCCGGTGCGTGGAGCTCGTCCATGAGGAGATGCAGAGAATTGTTCAGCATGCTTTTACACAGGTAACCATTAGCTTCACAGAGACCCCAAATGATTGCTGAACAAGCGCACCAGGGAAGAAAAGTAGAGAGAGGAACTGGGATTGATTTCAAGCTGGATATTGGAAGGGTGGGGTGGGGATCAGGCATCTATCGCTTGCCGGAAACTACATAGAAATATGATGTAAAACGGTACAACTGTAGTAAAGCGAAAAGCCTATTCCAGGCGTTCAGAGAGTGGAGCGCGTCGCGACCCCACCCCTTCGCTGTTTTTCTGCTCACATCTCTTAGCGCCGTCCCACAATCTGAACGCCTGGAATAGACAACAAAGCGAATGTCTCAAAGACAGTAGAAACTCAGTGCTGGGTCTGAAAACAAAGTTTGTTGCTTGCGCTGGAAATTAAAATACTCCTTGTTCCGAGTTAAATCCATGACAGATATAAGTAGGTGTACTGACTATATAAGTTTCTTTCTCCCTTATGGCTGATATGTAGTGTCTGTCTTAGGAGTTCTGCCCATTTAAATACAATCCAGTCCACTTTTACAGGTTATGGAAGTAAAGAGATTTCCTCGTCTTCATGACAAGATTGTCGAGGTGGTCATAAATCTGCTACAGCGAAGATTACCTTCCACGAACGAAATGGTAACTTTAAGTGTAAATTTTGAGTATGCTAGTACCCTTCCAGAAGTAGACTGCAAAACAGTCGGTTTTTTTCGCAAAATGAAGATAAAATACGGCGAGGATAACGCTGAATACTGAAAAGTATCATGGTATCTTGTGAATGGTGTGTATGAAGAAAGTCTAAACATCGGTAAAGCGTGGCGTAAGAGTCTTAAGCGCGCGAAGCGTGCGAGCCTCACACGACTGCTCGCGCGTACTTGAATACGCAAAAATACGCAAAAAGACTGTTTTGCAGTCTATTCTAGACTTGCTACAAGTCGACCTCTTGGCGAGCGGAGCGAGCCTTGTTTGGCCGCGAAGTGGCCGACCGCGAGCGACGAAGTCGCGAGAGGTCGTCCCCGCCATATGAAATCCGACGAAGGACTTTTTTGAAAGTCTACAGTCTATTCCAGAAGAGTCTTTCTTTCGCTTACTCGATTTCGGCGTACTCAAGAAGACAAAAGTGAGCTTTAGCAAGGACTTCGGCGACGGCAACAAAGACTTAAAAAAGCATTAGCAAAACAACAATTCCTTAAGTGCATCCCGCTTTTTTGTACATTTCTTTGCCGTCCCTGCACGACTAGGACATGGAAATGCCTAATTCCACGTTTTATGGAGGACGTAAACAAGCGGCGACGATTTTTTTTCTTTCTCGTTCTAAACTTGAGTGCGGTCCCCAAGAAATCAATTCCAGGGAAATTCGCTTACATTTGACATTTTCAGGGAAATGGAATAAACGCGGCAAAGTTTGAATAACGCGAATTCTTTTTAAAAGTGACAATTTCGCTTTCGTCGCCGTCGTCGGTGCTAAAGCTCCCTACAAAGAGGCTCTGATCGAGGCGCAAAGCATTCTGGGATGGTTTTTGGTATGATTAGTAAAATTGTTTGTATACAATCGACCAATCATAGCTAACGCTTGCTTGTACCCATTCTCCCTGCTGTTTATAGGTTGGCGGACTGTATTTAAAATTACAATCCCAGACAAAAGCAGTTGGGAAGGTTGTGCAACCGACTTAACGGTAGTCCATTTTAATCCTCAAAAAGGAGAGTTTTCCACCTATTTGATGTTGGGATATTACAGAAACATTACGCGCGCAATTTGCCCAACATTGGGCCAGGGGCGGGCCGGGAGGAAGGAAAAAGCAGCCTTTCCAACACTTTTGACGATGATTGTAGATTGACGGTACAATTATAAACAAGCAGTTTGTAGGAAACAAATAAAACAGTTAACATTGATTCACTTAATTTGTAGGTAGAAAATCTGGTGCAAATTGAACTGTCCTATATTAACACCAATCACCCAGACTTCACAGATGGTGCATCGCTTGTGTCTTCCATTGCAATGAATCATGAGATGGTATGTATCGAGGCTTTAGTTGGGTTGAGATAATTCGAGAAAAATCAGAGATCGACATAATCGAGACAATGCTTTCCCTCTCAGTTGCTTTGAAGGTCCAAGCTCGAAGAGACGTCATCTCTCGAATCTCTTCCCAGTGTCTGTAAATTTGCCTATCAACCCTGTTAATAAAACCAAATTTCTGTGTTATTTTATTTATTTGTTTTTAATTTTTGTTGTTTTTATATTCCTAGGAACGTAAACGTGCAAGCAAGTTATCACAAAGTGTTCTTGTAAATGGACCACTTGAGGTGAGGCTTTCTCTACTTTCTTTATTGGGCGAAAATATACCAGTTTTAACCTTCGTTGGCGTTTGCTCTCCGGGGTAAGGGTTGACTTGCTTTGCCTTCCACCTCAGTAAATTCAAGTCTGTATATATTTATTTCACAATTAATTAACGCAGGGAGAAAAAAAGGGAGGTAGGGAGGGGGTGGGTGGGCGGAGGTAGGGGTGTAGGTAGGTTATCATTCTTAAAGTTTGCTATATTTAATAGTAAATTA